TAATGTGTTCATGTTATGTAGTTTGAATACCATGTCAAAAACATATTATTCATCATTGTAAAATAACATATTCCACACTCCATCTTTTTTTTCCAATTTTTCCAGAGGAAAAAAAAGCTTTGGAAAAAAATGGGGAAAAACTGTTTTTCCCCCAATTTTTCCAGGCCTTACTATCTCTACACACGACTGATCTCTTGTGAGGAATACTAATGTCTAAGCTTGGCCAATGTCTTACCTTACCATACATTTACAATGGAGTTCCCAAAAATGTATTGGTAATATAGTCAGAGACAAAAATAGGTCAGGGCAGCTCAGTCTGACTCGGCGTGCCAAAACTAAAAAGGTTAAAAAATTTGCTGCAAGCAGAGTGCATCCCTAACACTCAGTATTTGATGCTGCAAATATGTAAATTCATCCACTTTGAGTATGTATACAGCCCACTTTGAGTGGATATGACGCTCACCACTATTTCTCTTCAGGCAGAAGGAAACATAAAACAGACAGCCTCAATGCAGAGGAAATATGGCCTTCAGAAATCCAGGTTTTCTTCCCCATTCCCTTTCTCTCTCCACATATACCAATCTCACATGACCCATATTTAATAGAGCAGTGATGTCTGGAAGAACACCCTCTCTTTTTTGGGGGGTGAACTCTCACCACAAAGAATGTGGTTCACAGTCTGGGGGTCCATCTCGACCCAGTGCTTACCATGGAGACCCAGGTAGCGTTAGTGGTTCGGTCTGCCCATTTACATCTTCGGTGGAACGCCCAGCTGTGTCCCTATCTAGATGCGGGGACGCTCACCACGCTGGTCCATGTGCTCGTAGTCTCAAGAACAGACTACTGTAATGCCCTCTATGTGGGGCTTCCTCTGAGACTGATGCAGAAGTTTCAAATAGTCCAGAATACAGCGGCCAGGCTATTAACTTAGTGGTTCGGTCTGCCCATTTACATCTTCGGTGGAACGCCCAGCTGTGTCCCTATCTAGATGCGGGGACGCTCACCACGCTGGTCCATGTGCTCGTAGTCTCAAGAACAGACTACTGTAATGCCCTCTATGTGGGGCTTCCTCTGAGACTGATGCAGAAGTTTCAAATAGTCCAGAATACAGCGGCCAGGCTATTAACTGGCGTGAAAACATTCCACCATATTTCCCCCAACCTGGCTGCCTTGCACTAGCTGCCTACTCACTTCTGCAATGATTTCAAGGTGTTCACTATTACATACAAAGCCCTAAACGGTTTAGGCCCTCGATACTTGGCAGAGCGCCTTCTTCCGTCTAGTTCTGCCCCATCAACCATTCCAGTCAGCCTGGGTGGCTGAGGGGCCTAATGCCGAGAAAGGTCCAAAGGAAAAAACAAAAAATGGGGCCTTCTCGGCAGTCCCCCCCCCCATCTCTGGAACAACTTACCTGTAGTGATCCACCTGGCCCCCTCGCTGAGGCCTTTTAAGACCAATCTGAAGACATGGCTATACAGGCAGCCTTCCCTACAGCCATCACCTAGCCCAGTGGTTCTTAACCTTTGTTACTCGGATGCTTTTGAACTGCAGCTCCCAGAAACCCCAGTCAGGACAGCTGGTGGTGAAGGCTTCCGGGAGTTGCAGTCCAAAACTCCTGAGTAACCCAAGGTTAAGAACCAGTGACCTAGCCTATCTTTGTAAGCCGCCTTTTTCCTTTTTCTATCTTGGATTCTGCTGCTAATTTGGGTCTTTTTCTTAGTACATTTATACAGTACTTTCATAGTTTATTTTTTATATTTTGTGTAAGCCGCCCAGAGTAGACATGTTCTAGATGGGTAGTATATAAGTTTAATAAAAATAAAATGAATAAATAAATAATAGAGCAAGACGATTAGCAGTACAGTGGTGTCTCGCTAGATGATTGCCTCCCGATTAGCAGTACAGTGGTGCCTCGCTAGACGATTGCCTCGCGGGATGATTAATCCGCAAGATTATTAGTTTTCACGATCGCTGTTGCGCTTCGCAAAACGATGGTTTCCTATGGATGATTTTCGCAAGATGACGATTTTTTCCCATTGGAATGCATTAAATAGATTTCAATGCATTCCAGTGGGGAACCACATTTCGCAAGACAATGTTTTCTATAGACATTTTTTGCAAGACAGCAATTTTTCCATTGGAACCCATTAAATAGATTTCAGTGCATTCCAATGGGGAACCACGTTTTGCAAGATGATGTTTTCGCAAGACAATGATTTTCACGGAACTAATTAACATTGTCTTGCGAGGCACCACTGTATTTACTTACAGTATGATTTACTTACAATATTATTATATGACTTCATCTTTTTGGCATGGACTCCACAATTCCTAAGAAGCCTGCAACTAATGTTCCACCACTCTTATTTTTACTATAATCAATGTTTATCTTTACTACAGTAAAACAAATATTTAATCCAGTAGAACTTGTTACTCATTAAGATACCACAAGACAAAGGAATTCAATTTGGAATTCAATTTGGCTGGGGAGCTTTTAGCCCTTCAGATGTTGTTTGACTGCAACTCCCATCAGTTCTAGCCAGCACAAAGTACATTATAAAGGATGATGAAAGGCAGAGCCACATATTCCCTACCATTGTTGTACATATTTAATTAGCAGTAATCACTCTGACTTGAATCCTATTGATAATTACACATGCACAAGAGGAATTGTGCAAGTTACTGTAGCTGAATATGGTTCGTTGATAAAATGCTTGGTGCATGTCAAGCACATGTCAGGTATGAGATCAGGTGTGCAACTGGGCGCACAAATTATATGCAACTGGTTCCTAGTCAATTAGCCTAAACAACCTTCCTGATTCCTCTTTTGTATCTGCAAAAACTCCATAGGATTGACCACTGAGTGTAGTGGGACTTCAGAGTAATGACCTATATGGGACAAAAATCTGAAGCCTTTTAGGTGTGGAGACACATTAGTTATTGACCATGTGGTAAGTTCATTATAAAGAGATCACGTAATGCCTTGATTGCAATTCTAGACTGATCCTTCTTTCAGACCTGCAATACCATCTCCTGGTGAGTGAGATCCACATGAAACAAAAGTCTGGAAATTTCAGCATACGAGAAGGGACCGAGGAATTAAACAAATTCCAGTTTCCAGTGGTTTACCCTTCCTCTTATAATAGAGTTCTTTTATAAAACTCAATTCAGGACAAACCTCAACATGCACATGACATTAAAAATTATTCACCATTGAGGGAGGGCTACAGCCATGCAAATCAATCCTGTGTTTCCACCTTACAGCATTTACCTGTTGTTTAAGCAGCCCCACAAAATACCAATATTGCTTTCCAGTCTGAATGAATACAACAACATGGACAAGCCTTGAGACCCTTTCACCTTTCAGGGTCATATGATATATGTAAACTGGGGGTTAAGTTGCTGAATATTAGTTCATGGAAAAATTCTATAATTCACCAGCGTTTGATCATTTTTTTAAAAAAATGTCCTTTAAACAGATCAAAGGGAAAAATATCTCAGATTTTTACACAGACTATAGTAGTAGTTCTCAAACTGTGTCCGCACAATCCCATTATTCCTCAAAACTTTTACAGATATTTGAACTGGAAATAAAAACCTAATCCTCCTCTCCCACCCAGCAGCTTGTTTGTTATTACTCATTTTCTTCTACAAAGTATAGCTACAAAGTATATGTTTTGGCATATAAAGCCCTAAACGGCTTGGGCCCTGGATACCTGAAGGACCGCCTCCTTCCATATGAACCTACCTGGCAGTTAAGATCTAGCCAGGGGGCCCTTTTGAAAGAGCCGTCCCTTAAGGAGGTAAGAGGGACGGCTTGTAGACAAAGGGCCTTTTCGGCAGCTGCCCCCAGACTATGGAATGCCCTCCCGACTGAGATTCGTCTGGCGCCGCGGCTGATGAAATTTCGGCGCCAGGTCAAAACCTTCCTGTTCCAGAAGGCTTTTAATTGAAATAATATTAGCTGTGGGTCTGATGGCAATTTTAATTGTATTTTAATTGTATTTTAATTATTTTATCTTTTGCTGTATTGAATTTTAATTATTGTAAGCCGCCCAGAGACCTCTGGGTAGTTTGGGCGGCATATAAATTGAATAAATAAATAAATAAATAAATAAATATCCCGTTTGTATGAAAAAGTGTTAAGACACACTTCAACTATACCAGCCAGGCTGTGGCCACCACATACTGCAAGTGTGCTCTGAACACATGCCCAAATACTTTGCAACATACAAGAATTTTACAGCAAATACCAAGAGTCCGTCAGCAGAGAAGAAAATGGGTGGCGGGGGGGGGAGGAGACAAGGAGGTTCAAAACCCCTCTGAATGTTGGAACTGCGCTGGAAGAGCAAGAGATCCTGACTTCGAAATCCCCTTTGCTCAGTGCTTTCTTCCCCACCATGCATGTGAAATAATATCTGATGCACAGTAACATTAATATACATCGTCATATAATTTTAAGGTGGAAATTATGTTAGAGGTATCTAGACCTATCCCAGGTGCTCAGTGCGGGAGTCCTGCAAACATAGTAACTCTGACAGACAGTTATCCAGCCTCTGATTAAACACCATCACAAAAGAGTGCCTACTGCCTTTCGAAGCAATTGCTTCCACTGTCAAACAGTCTAACCATTATGACATTTGACCTAAAGTTTAGCGGAATTCTGCTTCCTTATTTCCAGCCATTAATTTTAACGCCACATTCGGGAACAACAGAGAACAAAGAAGGCCACAACCTTGTGCATCCCAGTTATGTACAACGCCTCCCCTCTCTGCCCATAACAGCCAGAATTATAATAATCAGATCTACCTTATTGCCCCAAATCTAACCTTCTGTGTACAATGGTCGAAGGTGCACACCCCACTTCTCTTCTACAACAGACAGAGAACTAACTGGCAGCCCAGGTGAGTGCACAACTGCCCTTTGTGTTTTAACTTCTCTGTGCCCCCTTATTCTGGACAACTTCCCCAGCTCTGTTGCACTTTAGAAATCTCACTCACCAACTGTATAGTGTGCTGTCTCTTCACTGTCTGGTCACAGGTTAGTACACTAAATTCTTAATTGAGCCTGGAAAAGAACATGAGCAGTCAGTAAATGTTAGGGACACTTCCCATAGGGGACAAAATTATGCATATATATATACACACAAGCACCATAACATACAACAATTATCTTTAAGCATAAAACTGGGTTGTGCAAAATTTCATGCACTGTAACAAGAATCCTTCTCAGGAGAATAGGCCAGGATTTTTGTCAGTAAATCTGCAAAAGACATGAAAAGAGATTTACCCCAGAGGCAGGTCTTTTGTGGCATGATGAGTATATCTTGCAACATACAGGCAGCAGGCAGACATGTTTCTTACACACCGCCTGCTCTCCGAAGCATCAGTTTGGCCATCTTTAACTCCTTCCTCCCTGCTTTGTCAGTCTCAACCATGCAATTTTCATTTAACATTCAGCATCATTTACAGAGTACCTGCCCCACCCCCTACAACAAACACAGACAGCACACAACACATATACTTGCAGGTCCATGTCCTAAGGGACTTGAAAATAACAGGAGGAGAAAGGAGATCAGCCTTGCGGTAATGATGCTGGGGAAGGCCAGTTCCAAGAGAGAAGGAAGAAAGGATTGCAAGCAAACTCTACTTCTACCATAGAGCAAAGCTGATTGGTGGATGGCTGTTGCTGGGTTACAGGAGTGAAGATGGAGTAAAGGCCTTCCCAAAGGAGTTCAGTTTTCTGTTTTCTTTTTCTCCCACCCCCTGAATAATCCCTGAAGAGGAAAAAGCTGAACAACCCTCATAAACGGCTCCCCCTCATTGTGCGAGGACATCAGTTTCAAAATATTCACCCTTGGCAATAGCCGATGTGTGTGTGTGTGTGTATTAAATGCAGCTCTTCAGGGAAAGAGTTAATACTCAGCAGCAAAGCAACTGGAAAGCTAAGATGTTAGTTGAAACTGACAAATCCAGCACTCTATAAGCAGCAAACAAATGGCATGCAAGAGCGGCAATCAGAAGATGGTCTCAAAAAATAAGCTAAACTGGCTATATTCCCCAGCCCTACTGTGTTACGGCTGCTTACCACTGATCCCACTGCTACTCCGGAAAGAACAGGGAATACACTCATGCAAAGCTGCAGACTCTCCAAAGGAAAACTTAGGAGAAAATATCAGGAGGGGAATGCAGAGAAAGCACAAAGGGGGTGGAGGCTGTCCTGACATGTTTGAACAGTGATCTGTTCACCTAGCTGTGAGTTTAACTTCAGGGTGTGGCGCTGCAGATACGCAAGAACACCCGCGCTGGGAAGGCACACATTTGAATTTCAACCAACGGGATAATGCTGACACCACTGCTTTGTGGGCCTCAGTTATCCACTCTTCTGTCCACATCAGTAGTTGCTAGACTAGGAGAGGCTCAGCATTTCACTAAGGTGCTGCTGAGGGTTGCGGAATGTCCAGTGCAATGTGGACTTTCCTCACTAATTGATCTACTAAACGTTTGCTAAGATCACGAATGGCCCTCTCCCAGTTTCTAAAGCCTCGGGGTCAAGAGCCATTGCTATTCCTAAAAAATCTACACATTTCTTCACTGTGTCATCCAGCTTGCACAATGGCACAATGGTTGAATTCCAGTACTGGAGCCAAAGCTCTGCTCACAACCCAGGTTCAATCCCAATAGTGAGATTGGGGTTAACTCAACCTTCCATCCTTCTGAGCTTGCAAATTTAGTATCTAGCTTACTGGTCGGGAGGCAATGTGTAGCCTGCATAATTAAATTGTAAAGTGCCCAGAGAGCGCTTGAGCACTATGGGGCAGTATATAAGCAGTACGCTTTACTCTTTTTTCTTTCTTCTTCTTCTTCTTCTTGATAAGCAGTACGCTTTACTCTTTTTTTTTCTTGCTCATTTCAGGACCAGCACTGAGTTTCTCCTTATGCCAGGCAGAAGCACTTCTCCTTATCAAAGTAAATATATCAGAAAATGGAAATAAATAAATCAATAAATAAATAAATAAATAAATAAATAAATAAATAAATAAATAAATGTCTAACACATGATCCAATGCTATTGTTTCTTCATAATCAATTTGTGAGTCAGGGCAGTAAAGATTAACGTATCTTCGTATTGGGACACAGTCCTATTGCTAAAACTGTGCTAAGGCTCATGGCATACCAAGCCTTAGAAATGTATATTTTCCTACGAGCAAACTGGAGAAGAGTGAGCAGACATGGGAGATATTTGTTATCAAGAATACGTGTGAGGCAAGACTAAAATCAGAGTTTATGTCTTTCAAAGCCATCAGCAAATAAAAGAGAACTTGGTTTATTTGCTAAGGATTTGATGCAAACAGTAGACACTGAACACTAAAGCACTTTGGTCCAAAGAGCTAAGATAAAAACTTCAATATACACATTGTAATTTGTCCATCTACATTTTTGCAAAAACAACACTCTGTTGAAATAAGTCATCCCACTTTTTAAAAAAAGGAAAGGGTCAAACTATAGGCTTGTTTTAAAAAAATCCAAGACTTAACATCTTTCCAGTCTCTGTTTTTTGACAAATGACCTTGTGAAAGTCACGTCAGCCCACTAATTGCCCCCGCTCAAACTATTATACATGAAGCAGAAAGAGCTTTATGGAGTGGAGTTTTTTTTTAATGGAAAATTCAAAATACAAAAGAAAGAATGACCCCACCCCTAAGACCTCATGTCAAACATAGTGGTCAGTTGTCAAAGTGGTACAAATAAGCATCTCTTTCCCCCTTTTTCAATCTTAGGGGAGCACAGATACAGTAAGGAATGTTCACTAACATTCTCCTTGCTTTGTTTGAAAAACAGTAAGAAGCAAAAGCCAGAATGGTATAATGACTAGAATATGGGCATTTCCACGGTAGGAAATCCCTGTTCAGCCACCAAGTGTTTTGGAGGCCAGTTTTGGTGGGGGACTCTTATGTTTGACCTCAAAAAATAAAATGTTTCTGCTATGCTGTCATGTTCCTTTCAACTTACAGTGGCCCTATGAATCACTGACCTCCAAAAATCATGCTTATTTGCATATATTTTATATATGCTAATTTATATCTATAGATCCACATTTGGAAATAAGTTATGTAAATTAACCAGACATCCTGTGCAACTCACCACAATGGGAGGATTATGACCACAGGACATATGACTATTCAATCTCCTGCCCACATGCTCACCATAAAGATCCCTACTCTCCCTTCCCATAGTTCTTGACAATTAAATTCGCCTTGGACTGAAGATAACTTCAAATAGAGAATAGTCCTCTGTAAAGCAAGGCACATAGTCACCTCACACTGAGTGCAATAAGTGGCTTGGACAAATAATTATCTCTCCATCTAATCTCCCACACAATGTTACTGTGATACTGAAGAAAGTATCAGGCTCTAGCTACTGAATTAAAGCACCTACAAACACTTTGCATTAGTACTATATAGTTCACCCCAGCCTTTCACAATCACACTCTGTGCCAGCAAACCAAAATTCATTAAGGCAAATGGTACTACAAACTACTGTATTCTGAAGTCAGTTCAGTGAGGCTGATAGCCCATGGATGTGTGTGTGTACTGAGGGATAAGCTGGGTAAGTCCTAATGTGTTCAGAGGACCATGTTTCCCAGTGTGCAGTCTGAAGGATTACAATCAGAGAAATACCGTATATTATTTGTGTCTTTAGCCTTGCTAATTTATAATATATTGTATTTATACCTTTATTAGATAAGATTTCCCAATATTAGTTTAGTTCTGTAATTATTGTTGCTTTGCAATCATAAAAAAGGATTTAACTATGCTGGCCTGGTTTTGATAAACCAACACAAGCTGAAACTATTCCCAAAAGTCAGAATTACTGGGCTGGCATTGATCCATTTTCCTAGCAGTACACCATACCAAGAAACATACATTGTAGAATGAATAGCTGTGTGAGCCCACTTAATGAAGGGCCATTTATTATTATGTCTTTGGTTTTATTGGCTTTGCAGAACAATCTTCCATGCCTGTTATCTGTACTGCAACAGTCACAGAGATGACCATCAAGATAATAGCTCCTTGTTCTACCCTTACTCTAAAAGATTATTTCAGTTTTGTCTGGGAGTTGTTTTTAAAACCCAAAGAAATTGCAGTTCAGCATTTCTTAGGCTGAGAAACTTGAATTTCATTTAAACGGGTGGTGCTCAAAAACTAATAATGGGATTTGGGATTGTCATTGGAGGGATGCAACAATATACAGAAGCACAAAATACTTGAGACGTACCTGCCTATACTAGAAAATCTTGCAAGTAAACCACAGAGAAAAAAACTTTGTGTCCTAACTTTGGGGAGGAACTAAAACAAAAGCTATTCCTTCATTTCAGTGGTAACTATCCAAACATTTAGTCATGTTTTCTACTGATAACCTTGGCTGAAAACCAATTCTATGTTATCTTTCAATATGTTAACAAAATAAATAACCCATTCAGGTTATTAGACAGGAAACAACAGCTGATTCAGAGAAATGTTTCAAGTGGTGCAATCCATCCTCCAGTGGAGCTGGTATCAACAATTTCTTTCAACCCATTACTGGCTTCAGACTTCTCTTTGAAACCTGGAACAATGTGGAATGTTTCCAGATGATTAAAAACAACATGCCACCTCTCCTAGCTATGCTTATTGCACCCATGGTGCAACATTGTGTGCTAGTACTTGTATTATGGCAAAGATAGCCTTGGTGAGACAACACAGCTGCTTTTTATTCTACAAAAGTACGTTTGGGAAGATGTGCAATCAGATTGATGGCATGTAGATTTTGATTCCCCTTTACCAGAAAGAACTCTCTATGACAACCTCTGGCCTCTAAATAAGGAATCTGAAGAAAGGCCCTTGTCTGCAATAATTGTTCCCAGACTGCTAAATCCATCCAGTATCTCTTCTTCTTTATAATTCACTGCTTGTTGAAAATTATTCTAATTCTGTTAATTGGGTTTGCTAATGCAACACTTCCAGTTGCTGTAGTCTGGTACATTGTGGCCCTTCATTCTGCACTAATCAACTCCCTTGTCTTGTT